TGAATCGAGCTCATCGAGTAGGAAGGTCTCTGATCCTGGTGGATCTCGTTGACCTGGCAGTGTGCAACTTTGAGCATTGCGGCGACCTTGGCGACCTCTGGCGTTTGTTCAAGCAGCGAGCTCATTAGCGGCCACGGCCAAGTTGGCACTTGGGGTCTTGTAGACGCTGTGGCTATCAACACGGACAAATTCATCATCGAGGTTGCATTGGAGTGGGCGTGGCCTCCCTTGCGATCTAGTCAGCGAGAGGATAGATGTCTCTTGCCTGGTCGGCTGAATTTGCCCCTTAGGGCACCTTGATAGGTGGTAGCAACACTGGTGAGCCCAAAGGGTAGGGTTGTAACCCCTGGAGTCTCCTAATTAGCCTCCGATAGATCTGAATCAGAGGGTGGTCGGTGCTGAACCAGAGTGGTTAGAGTCGATTCTGCGATGGAGAGGTAATCGGTGAGCTTCTAGCCAACCTGATTGATGGATATGATCAGATCGTCATTATTGATCTGCTTACTCGGGTAGCGGGGGTGCAGGCGGTGAATTGTTGATGAAGATGACCTCGGAGGCAGTTCCGAGATCAGATCTGCAGTCGCAGGTGTTGGGGTGGTCGACGTAGAATAGATATGCACCGGCTCGATGAGCTCTCCATCTCCGTTAGCGTTGATGACCTAGGAGATCGATCCGACCGTGAAGATCAGTCCGGGCTGTGGGAAGGACAAAAAGCCTGCAAAACGTACCATCTTGTTCGACATGGAAATAGCACGCACACCCCTACCTGACGCGCCAACTGTCGATAGAGTATCGTCGGCAGTCCTCTAAGGGGTATCCCACGAAGGTAGATTGATCGGTAGAGATGCGTATAATCAAGAACAAGAAGGCAACAGAGACACAAGAGTTAGATAGGTTCGGGCCATCAGCGTGACGTAATACCCTACTCCTATGGTCTATTGGATTGTATTGGCTTCGTATGATATTGCCTGTGTTTTGAGTGGGAACCTGCCCGCCTTATATAGTCTAGGGGGTAGGGTTACAAGTCGGTTAGATCTAGGAGATAACCGAAAAGTAATAACAGATTACAGGAATCATGGGATCAAACGTATCCTAACAGATCTCGTAGTATCTTCAAGATATCTTCTCGGTGTCTTGCGGGGCGCGCCGAGCAACACCGTGCTCCGCAAGGCTTCGTCTTGCGGGCTGGACCACCCCTGGGGGCGTGGCCCATGTAGTTTGTCGTGGGTATCCGGGGTTGTACCCCCACAGCTAGAGTGACTGACGTGACGTGACATGCTAGGGGAGTACTTGGGGCTCCCTAAAGGTACCTATGGTGGGTACAACTTGTAGATACGGAGGTGGTGTGGTGATTGTGCCATCGAGGGCACGTGTCTTTTGCGACCCATTGGAGGAGATGGTTGCTCTAGCCATATAAGGACTGATATGTTGGTGTGATCATGCTTCACATGACTTTTACGTGCACACCACACGCTCCATAGGAGGGGTCCCAGGCTTGTGACTTTGCTTAGGATGGAACCATTACTGTAGGAGTTAGTGGATAGTGTTAGGGAGGGTGAGCATGGGGCTCACACCATCTCGAGACTCGGCCACCACTGGCCTGGTTGGTTCGGATTCATTGCTTCAGGTACCCGGTGGCGACCCGGTGTTTCTCCCAGGCCTGAGAGAGGCAGGATGGTGCCATTATGGTGGGTTCGAGTTTGGGTGTTGTGCTCCTTAGTCGACTAGCTACCGTACTAAGGGCAGTTCATGTGGGATTTCCAGGTTGTACACACTCTGCAGAGTTTATAATCTATACGTATAGCCACGTCCTTGGATATGGACAATATCTTGTGTTTTGTTACCCCAATTAGTGTGACATTTCTTCTCTCCCCTTGGTTGATCTAAGGTCCAGCTTGAGGTGGTTGAGGCAAGATGAGAGGGAGTTGTCCTTGTCACCTAGAGAGCGAGGCGGAGGTGTGACTATGGAAGAAGAGGGATGATGGGTGAGATGACTTGAGGTGATGTGCTAGAGTGGGAATCGGACTCCTCGGGTGGACTCAATCTGTCAGAATGAGAGTGGGAACTTGACTCCTTGGTGGACTCAGGGCTTGGAGATGTTTTGGTGGACATTACTATTATTATTATTATTTATTGCATTTTAGGATGCAACCCACAGCCCAAAATAATAGGATCGCTAGATCCCTTAGAAATAGGCCACTTAAAGCTCATAGGTGTTGACCATGGCCTGCACGCATCTGGCGACATGCAGAATGATGGACTTGCAGGATTGTTGGGAATGGTATAAGGTCACGACCGTGCTCAAGGATGCCTCTAGATGTGGACTTCTCCAAGCTTCGTTGTTACGCTCTAATAGATCGATGTTGTTTTCCTTGCTTGTGGATTGATCCATGTGGATTCAATCTCGTAGTTTGTAATAGGTTATTATCTAAGTATACTTCGAATTTGTATTAAATGATTTGTAACGCTTTGTATGGAAATGAAATGAGCTGAAATAGAGATTGCACGTGATAACTTTTATTCCTGGGACTATCACATCTGTGCAGGGATTGAGATTTCTATCTTGGAAATCTCGGTTCGTTTTAGCTCCCCTAGGCCGCAGCGCCCTTAATGGAGAAGGGAGGGAAGGGGAGGAGCGCCGGGAGGGGAGGGGAGGGAAGGGGAGAGAGGTGGGGCGCCACAGGTGAGGAAGGGGAGGGGAGGGGAGGGCGCTGTCGTGAAGGGAGAGGGAGGAGTCGGGCGCTGTGCGTGATATCGGGTTTGCGAAGTCGCGATTCAGAGAGGTGAGGAAGAGGGAAGTGAGAGGTGAAACCCTAAGTCACTGTATATATAGTCATGCGTGATTTTGGGCTGGTTGGGCTTCTCTCTTTGCTAGTGGGCTCGGCCACTATTAACCGAGGCGAAAATGGGGGTATTTTTGGAGGCGGACCACTTATAAGGCCCACCTTAGTTAATAGATTTTAGGAACCGCCTCTGTAAATCAATTTTATGAGGTGGTTGATTGTGACCGCCTCGGTTAATAAAATGCTTGCCTCGGTTAATCCCAGGCATTAACCGAGGCGGTTAAAATTCCCGCCCGCCTCCGAGGCCCATTCTGTAGTAGTGGTTGTATGCATCGAATCCCTTATGTTATCATCTTCTACCTCCTAGATCTTCGTGTTTTGTCATTTGGCTTATGTTGTTCATATAACATTCAGATCGAATGACTACATGGGTAACGTAGAAGGCTTATATGTTGTTCATATAGCATTCAGATCGAATGAAATTATGTCGATACTTCCATATATTATGGGGTAACGTAGGAGACATCCCTATTTTCACTCGGTCTTAATTACCACCATTTGACTTTCAATTCGTCTTTAACCATCAAATTAAGTGTGAATAACCCGGTCTCTTCTCTATGAAACATGGGACACTTTTGGTTGGCTAGCCATCTTGGTGACAGAGAGATGCTTGATGTTGGGGGAGGCGACAGTAGGTGTCTTGCTTGGATTGGAGCACTCAAGATCCTGGCCATCTAGATCCGCCTGGGTGGTGGCGTCCGGGATTGAGGGGAGGGGGAGCTAGGGCGGCGAAGTTGAGGCCATCATTCACGACGCGGGCGGTAGTGGCTCACGGAGTGGTGAGGAGAGAGAGAGAGAGAGAGAGAGAGAGAGAGAGAGAGAGAGAGAGATATGCAGCGGTTCACGGGGTGAAGAGGGAGTGAGAGGTGGGTAGGGTTTCTCTCACCCTCTTTTATATTGTCCGAGGTCTGTAGCGGGTCGAGACGAGCTTGCCTCAATTAATGTAGGTGGGTCTCTAAATGGATCCACCTCTAAAAGTGGTTCTCATTTTTAGACGATATTTTATCTGTAAATTAAATGGGTTATCTCATAAAATCGTATTTTTAGTGCCTCACGGTCACCTGTTCTATCCTTCATTGTGAGAAATGGACACCGCACAAAAAAATTGGTAGATCGATATGTGTTATATCTATGCAAGTTTACTGAGGCGAATTTAACACTTTCAATGCAAATCGATTGTAGCTTGCTAATCAATTTGCTTGGGTCATGTTGCTAGCTAGTTTACATGCTTTCGATCGAGTTCCAAGCAAAACTACTGCAGTGTCACATGCATCCCCTCTCTTTGGATATGACCAGAATGGAAAATAGTGGCGTACGTGCCTTCTCTTGGCGGTTCTACACGTGTACAAGCCAGAAAACTCCTCTCTATCATCAACCTTCAGTCTGGGCGTTCGGTTAACCGAAACCGATCGGTTCGGTTCTTCGGTTCTTTAGCTAATTCGATTACCTGAGAAGAAGGGACTGATCGGTTACTTTGAAAATGCGGAACCGAGGAATTTCGGTATCGGTTCTAATCGATGGAACAACACATTCAATTGCAAATTTCGGTAACATTTTGTCTGATTTTCATGCAGCCAAAAGGGACAATTTAAACAACAATGCAGCATAAAACAACAGCACAACACATATGTTATTGTTCTCTCAAATATTCAAGCATAGAGCAATATTCAAGCCTGCAGGAAAAAAAAAAGAGGTCCAACAGCTTAGTTCGGTTATTTCAGGTCAATTCGGTTAACCGAGTGCTGGAACCGAATTAACCGTAACAATTTCGGTTCCTGGGAACCTGAAACCGAACCTGGGACTGAATATTTCGGTTTCGGTTACTTCGGTTTTAATTCCGGTTAGTTCGGTTCGGTTCTCGGTTCTCGGTTTTTCGTGCCCAGGCTTAATCAACCTTACGCCAAACACACAGAAATCCCTACTATAGCATTTCTTACTTGGGTGTGTGGCTCGCCTCTTGCCTCGCCTGACCTTGTTTCCAATAATACCCTGTCTCCCTCCTTATAATACCCTCTTCTCCCATCCACGCGAAAAATTGGGTTCTTCCTTTCTCGCTCGAAGCACCAATTTCACCACAAAAGAAGAACCCTGCTAGCTCTTCCAAGAAAACAGATGCATTTGTACCAATAATAAAGGTGAAATAAAGCCCATACAATAATGGAGACGAAGCTCCGGTGGAGCCGACCCGGCTCCCTTCTCGTCGCCGCGGCGTTCCTGGCGTCCGCCGCCGTGTCGAGCGCCAACATTGGCGACTTTGACGAGCATTGGCAGAAGCGCAAGGAGCTGGCCGAGGCGTCGGTGAGGGAGACGTACAGGTCCGACCCGTACAACGTCACCAACAGCTTCAACGTCGCCGTGCACAGGCATGCATGCACCCCGGCCTTCATCCTTTCCTAGCATCCATCCCTTATTGTTCGTCCGGCCGTGTCATTTCATGCAATGTGTACACGCATGCATGCATATGCATGGTTGCAGAGCTAGCAGCCCGCGGCGTGCGATGCGGGAGATGCCTCGGAAGCACAAGAAGTCGACGGGCCCGTGCCGGGCGACGAACCCGATCGACAAGTGCTGGCGCTGCCGCAACGACTGGGCGACGGACCGGTTCCGTCTGGCCCGGTGCGCCAGGGGGTTCGGGCACGCGACCACCGGCGGCCTCGGCGGCCCGATCTACATCGTGACCGACCCCAGCGACGGCGACGTGGTGAACCCGCGCCCCGGCACGCTCCGGTGGGGCGTCATCCAGCCCGGCCCGCTGTGGATCATCTTCGCCAGGTCCATGATCATCCAGCTCTCGCAGGAGCTGCTGGTGAGCAGCGACAAGACCATCGACGGGCGCGGCGCGCAGGTGCACATCGCCAATGGCGCCGGGATCACGGTGCAGCTGTCCCGGAACGTGATCATCCACAACCTGCACGTGCACGACGTGGTGCACTCCATGGGCGGGCTGATGCGCGACTCCCCGACGCACGTCGGGTCCCGGACCAAGGCCGACGGCGACGGCATCTCGCTCTTCCAGGCCACCAACGTGTGGATCGACCACATCTCCATGTCCAACTGCGAGGACGGGCTCATCGACGTGGTGCAGAGCTCCACGGGGATCACCATCTCCAACTGCCACTTCACCAACCACAACGACGTGATGCTGTTCGGCGCCAGCGACTCGTACCCGCAGGACCAGATGATGCAGATCACCGTCGCCTTCAACCACTTCGGCAGGGGGCTCGTGCAGCGGATGCCCAGGTGCCGATGGGGGTTCTTCCACGTCGTCAACAACGACTACACGCACTGGCTCATGTACGCCATTGGCGGCGGCAAAGCGCCCACCATCATCAGCCAGGGCAACCGATACATTGCACCACCCAACATCGCCGCCAAAGTGGTGCGTGGGTAACAATGCAATTCGTTTCGTTTGGTTTGTTTTCGTTTCTTCTTTGAGCACACACCAAGCACATCACCAAGCACCGATGCATTGCAGATCACCAAGCACTACGCGGAAGAGGGCGAGTGGAAGAACTGGGTGTGGCACACGGAGGACGACCTGTTCATGAACGGCGCCATCTTCGAGCCGTCCGGCGGCGCGGTGCCCAGGAAGATCAACGGCAACGAGTGGGTCAAGCCCAAGCCAGGCACCTACGTCACAAGGCTTACCCGCTTCTCCGGCACATTGTCCTGCTGCCCAGGAAAGCCGTGCTGATAGCTGGCCCCGTCAGGCTTCTTCTAGCTTGAGGCCGCCAGCATGGCCGGCCATGTCCAGAGAACGATAGAGTACTGAAAGCTTGTCGCTCTGTGTTTCTTGCAACGAGGGGGGTATCCTCATGGAAGAAAACAAAGGACATCCACGTAGGATGGAGGGTAGCCAGGTCGTCGTTTTGCTAATCTACGTTTGCCTTGAAGTTTTGTTTTGTGGAATTGTTACAGTACAGTTTGGTCATTTTCCAGAGGAGGAAGGGATTGCTTTTATCCCACAGGTGTGTATCTGTATACATATACAGGTTGTATAACATGAACTGCCTCTGTTTGCGATTGGTCGAAAATAACATAATATTAATATGTTGTATTGTTTTGCAAGAGTTCTGAGGGTGTCTTTTCACATTTCATTCGTTTAAATTTAATCTCATGAGTGAAGTATTGATTTGAGTACCGACTGTCGGTGTTTCGAACCGCCGACTAATAAATTTGTGTTTGCGCGTCTGGTCCGGATGGTGTGCTCGGAGGACACAAGGGTTTATACTGGTTCGGGCGGAATATCCTTACATCCAGATTGAGGCTGCTCGTGTTACCGACACTTGTTTGTAGTAGGGGTTACAAACAGACAAGAGAGGGAGAAGGTCCCAAGTCTATGATGGAAGGATCGAATGGAGTTGAGTCTAGTTGAACTCAGTTCCTTTCAGCGTTGAGCCGTTGCCTTTCGCGGGGCGTCCTGCTTCCCCTTTTATAGTTGAAGGGGAAGGCACATGTTACTTGAGAGAAAGAGAGAGAGAGAGAGAGAGAGAGAGAGAGAGAGAGAGAAAAGCGAGGAGGAAGAAGGCCTCCGGGGTCGTGGCGCCCTTCATCTCCTTTACGCGGGTCCCGCTGGTCCTATAGATGATGACGGGGATGGCTCCACGTCGCGACCCTGTTCATCACTGGCGCTATACGTGGGCGCCGTCAGCCGGTCGTGGCGCTCCATTCCGTTCCGGCGGACGGCATGGTTAGCCGATACCCCCGTTGGAAGTTGTACGGGGATTAGGTAGCATAGCACCGGCACGCCCGACACTGTTGATGACGTGAGTCCTCAGGTATGGCCCGTCGTGGCCACGGGTCACGTCAAGACGCGCCTACTCCCCTTCTGGTGTCAGAAGTTTGACACTGGGTTTGTACTCTTAGACCCGTAGTGGTTGGAGGCGGTATGGACCCCCTTCGGGCAAGGCGGAATCCCCCTTCGAGGGGTCGGGCGAGGCGAAGTCCACGCCCGAGGGGTCGGGCGAGACGGAGCCCGCACCCTCGGGGTCAGACGTGACGGAGCCCGCGCCCTCAGGGTCGGGCGAGACGGAGCCCGTAACTTTGGGGTCAGGGGAGACTAAAATATGCTCTTGACCATTTGGGCGAGTTAGCGTTCGCGACCATCAGCTTCCTTCTTCCTGGTATCTCTAATACTGATACCCGACAGTAGCCCCCGAGCCTACGGGGGAGTAGGATACTCCTTCGAAGGCTTTTTTAGCCGTAAGGATTCTGAGGGTCTTCATCTCCCTTTGCAGGCCGTGGGATGTCTTGGTAGGGTCACGATTCCTTTCCGTCACGTTCGGACTCTTCGGAAGCATGCAACTGCGGGATTCGGGGGGTCGGAAAAGATCTCTCTTGATTCCGATCCCTCCCTAGGATCCGATCGATCCGCCATTGTCATGCGACCGCGTATTCGGTCTCCTTGCGAGTGCAACTTCCCCCGAGCCCCCACGCGTAGCAAGGGTCCGGTCGAGGGGTCAGCTCGTCTTGTGGTCATGCTCCCTCAAGCGTTTTTTTGATAAAATGGAGGGGTTGAGCCGTGCGATATTTTCCTCGATGGATGAATCATGGTGCTCGATGAGCTGTTAATGGGCTAGTCCTAGTGGGGCCCCGACTTCTCATTCGTGGGGGTTTGGCATGGGTCAGCTGGTGACCGACTCCAGATTCCTGACGGCCAGTCCATATAGTTCTTGGGTCCGTTGAACTGGTCCCAATGGCTCATTGCCTTTCTTCGAGGAAAAACCATGGATCGTGCACCGACCAAGACTCGAACGTGGGTCAGGATGCCCGTGGCGCTCGTGCGCCCAGGTGCTGGCCGCTAGCGGGCCCATCCTTAACCACCCCTCTCTAAAGTTGCCACGGAGCGGTTGTGAACCCGTCGATGGGCCAACCTTCGAACTCCTAGGCCTTAATGGGCCGTGGGAGCATTTTCAGCTCCGTATCCCTCCTTACCTATGGCGGCTTTCGGCCCATTGAGGGGTGAACCATCGCCCGACGTGCCCTTCGAGGGGGCGGCCGGGGGTGGCGTGCGCACGACTTTCGGAGAGGCAAAGTGACGAGGTGTGGCACGCGCGTCAATCGAGGCGAACGGTTCGCCTCTCGCTCCACCTTCCCCTATAACTTGGGGTTTTTCCCTTCGTCTTTGATACGCCTAACCGCAGCCTCATCCTCTCCGCTTGTCCGCCGCAAGCGCTCGGATCCCTTGCTCTCGCTCTTTCGCCGCCAGCGAAGTTCTCGTTCCTTCGCCCTTGCTTCCCATGGAGCCGTGGTATCGCTCCGACGTCACCCACACACGCATGGAGGGCCTCATCAAGCGCGGTCTTCTTCGTGGGAGAACCGAGGCGGTGGAGTGGCTTGTGCACGGTCGTGAGGAGGCGCCGGTCAACGGCTACGTCGTGTCCTTCGCGCCCTTCCACGAGAGCAGATTCGTGATTCCTCCGGGGACTGCTACACACTACCAGATCAAGTTGCAGCACCTGAATCCCAACAAGATCCAACACATCGCGGCCTTCATCGCGTTGTGCGAAGGGTATCTGGGGATCGAGCCCCACTTTGAGCTGTGGAGGTACTTCTTCTCCGTCTCACTGCACAAGAAAAGGGAGAGAAGTGGAGACCTGTCGGTGCCGATGGGATGCGCAATCTTCCACCTCCGGGGCCACCGGTCCGCCAAGTACATGACCTGTCCGTTGTCGAGGTCCAACAAGGGATGGCACGCGCTTTGGTTCTATGTGAAGAACTACGCCGTCGCCCCCTTGTCGGACTTCACCGGACGCCTAATCGAAGAGGCGCTGCCGGTGTGGGAGTGGGGACCTCCCGAGAAGGAAAAGAAGAGGCTCCGCGACCTCCTAAATGCCATCGCACTCCTAAAGAATCATGGTCTCCGCGGGGCCGGTGTCATCGGGGCGTATCACGCGAGGAGGGTGGCGCCGCTGATGGCGCGCACCCTCTCGCTGTACGGGATGACGCTCGGCGCATAGCTCGACGGGACGGTGCTCGGCCAAGGGCCGCTCCGCGACAGCGAGGTGGCATAGCGCATCAAGGAGGCAATGGAGGAGTCCGACGCCGTGTTCTCGATCCCGAGACATCCCATGATGTGGCCGGACACGGGCTTCATCGAGCTGCCTGTGGGGTTGGGCTTTCGGGCCTCCGTCGTGCCGTTGCCAGAGCACGCGTCGTGAGGGCAGCGAATCGGGCCACAGACGAGAAGAGGAAGAAGAAGAAGGATGAGGAGAAGGCAAAGCAGCGAGCGAAGTTGGATCGAGGTAGATAGCGACAAGGTTCGAAGGAGGAAGGAGGGGGAGGCGATGGTTCCGGATCGCACGTCCAATGGGACAAGCTAGGAGGTGGGGACGAGGACTTATCTTTGCCGCAGGCAGGGCCCTTCCCGTTGCATGCTCTGGGGGCAGGAGGGGGAGGATGTGCCCCTAAAGCAGGTGGAATCAGGCCTCAACCTAACGCGCCAACTGTCGGTGTTTCGAACCGCCGATTAGTAAATTTGTGTTTACGCGTCTGGTCCGGATGGTATGCTCGGAGGACACAAGGGTTTATACTGGTTTGGACGGAATGTCCCTATGTCCAGTATGAGGCTGCTCATGTTACTGGCACTTGTTCGTAGTAGGGATTACAAACGGACGAGAGAGGGAGAAGGTCCCAAATCTCTGATGGAGTTGAGTCTAGTTGAACTTAGTTACTTTCAGCGTTGAGCCTTTGCCTTTCACGGGGCGTCCTGCTTCCTCCTTTATAGTTGAAGGGGAAGGCGCAGGTTACACGAGAGAAAGAGAGAGAAAAAAGCAAGGAGGAAGAAGGCCTCCGGGGTCGCGGCACCCTTCAATCAATGCACAGACTCTGCTTCGGAAAGATGGTGGCAATCTGTTTATTGCTGCATCAATGTCCTGCTAACAGAGCAGTCATAAGTAAACGGTGCAAAGAATCAAAATATAAGAAAATTTCTCAGAGGAAGCAAACAAACTGGCATATTGTGCTTCATTGTAGGTATAACTTCAGAGTAGAAAAGAGCTTGACACATTGTCCTTCATAATAAGTGTAACTTCAGAGTAGGAAAGACATGCTTGTGTTCTAAAGCTTTTTCCATTAAAAACTAAAACGGGTGGAAACTAAGAATTATAACTATGCGTTGCCAACTAAAAGTAGTCAAAATGGACTCGGATGTAACAACAAAGTTTAGTGTAATAGTAAGTGGACTTGATTGACATGCAAACATTATGCAACTGGCCAAGCATTTCGGTAGAGATAACTGAACCCTTGTATATTAGCTCACCTCAGCAGTATAACGATTTGAAAAGTGATTCAGTAGAATAGCTTTGTTTTTAAGCTTGTCAGACAGACTTGCTATCTGCACACATTGTCAACATAAAGTTAAGGGTAAATACAAAGTGGAATTTTAGTAACTGAAAATGAACAGAGTATGGAATAACCTCAGACAAGTGAATGTGCCCTCTTTCTCTTGATTCCTCAGTTGATTTGGAGTCATCAATAAAAGTACTCTGAAATTTACAGACGACACATTGTAAAGTACACATAGGAACAGGTCAGAACCCAAAACAGTCAAAAAAAAAAAGATGACAGAAGATATGACATTCAGCACAGGACATGTTACAAACTCTGACAAAGTAACCTCCCCTTTCTCAAGCTGAAGAGCAACAGGTCAACAACAATAATCACGAAGTGATGACCGACAAGAAGGCATACCTCGACCACAAGAATCTTTGCCTTCAACACATCTGCATTATCAGGATCAAGGATGAAATCCGACATTGTATCTCCAGAGAAAGCAATCTCAGGTGTTAACTCTACATTCGTAATCTGTGCACCATGAATTGTTTGAAAAGTGCATAACACATCAATAATTCTATACTGGATTCTACTCAAGTTTGATTTCAACATCTAACCGGGCAGACAGACCTCAACCCCAGACTTTTTGAGATTACTGAGCTCTTTCCCAGGGAGGCCAGCATACTCCTCCTTGAGCTTCTGCTTCACCTTGTATATCACATACCCCTACACACACATCACACGATTCAAAATCCATGAAAGCATCATAAGAAGTAATTCCCACAATTCATTCAAGAGCACACAGAATCGACAGAGTTTGAAATTCCATTGGCCCTCACCTGGCTGGGTACGACGTGGTAGGTCCTGAACGCCCTGACCCTGAGGTCCTTGGGGAGCTGGTACTCCTCCCCGACCTCGAGCGGCACGAGCTTGTGGTCGAAGAGCCTCCGCACGAGGTCCGCGAGGCAGGCGGGGACGAAGACGGTGGGCGGGCGCATCCGCCTGCGGCCCCGCGTGGCGACGTACATTGGGAGGCCCCCGATGTGGTCCATGTGCGCGTGGGAGACGAAGAGGAAGTCCTGCGACACGGCGAACGGCGGGCACCGGCCGATGTCGAAGGCGAGGTTGAGGGAGGGGAACATGACGCAGGTCTCGTGCCCGGCGACCGAGATGCCCTCCACGTGGTAGCCCTCGATCTCCAGCCGCTGCTGCATCGCCCTCGGCCGCCTGGGGGCGGGGGTGGGAGCGGAGGTTGAAGTCGCCGCCGCCAGCGAGGGAAGGGGGAGAAGGTTTGGGTGGGAGGTGGCACTATTTGCGAGAAGCCCCGTTGCAACGGGAGAAAACAATGAAACTTTTATTGAAAACGACATGTGCTCTGGACGGCGCACCTAGCCCGGGGGGGGGGGGACGGCAGCGGCGGGGGCGCCCCGGGCGGCCTGGAGGCGCAACCACATCTAATGTCCTTCTCGATTATTTGTCTGATTTTCTCGATTTAATTCTTTCTATGATTTCCTCTTCGGTTGATTCGTGTGTGGATGGAGAAGGAATTGATTTTTGTTGAGTTTTGGTGGTTGTTGTGGTCGTCGGCAGAAGAAACAACAAATTTATTGATTTGATTTTATAAGTTGTTGTCTTTCTAGAGTGACTCTGATTTTGGTTTGGATTTGATTGATGTGGTGGTTTTGATTTAGTCTCGGCTTGGTCCTCTGCACCTTGTTTGCCCATTTAGAAAATCCTTGGTATAGATTTGGGGGCCCGGAGGAAATCTAGTTGATTTCGGATTGCGGATGGTTAGAGATGAATGTGTAGGCAAAACGAAAATTTAGGCATAAATTTTGCCTTTTTAATATTAGATATTAATAGATATAGATAATGGACTAAACACAACAAATTGCTTAAGTCAGCTTCCATTTAATTTAAATTGTTTAGTGAGACTCAACCAAGTTATAATAAATTATATTTTATTTCTACTCAAAATTACGGCAAAAACTTGACGGTGAAAACCTCTGCTTCTTAAGAAACGAGTCATGGTCTCAAAAATCCATAATTATTATATTTATCATTTATTATGATATTTAAAATTATATTTATGAAAAAATAAAAAATAGAAGTATTCAGAAACGGAAAGTGATGTATGTGGAGGGCAAAAATCGAAACGGACACCTATCCATGGTAATTATTATATTTATCATTTATTATGATATTTATGTTTATGGAAAAATACAAACATAGAAGTATTTAGAAAGGAAAGTGATGTACGCGGAGGGCAAAAACCGAAACAGATGCCAACACCATCACCTATCCATGGTCCATGTACAGCTAGCCGCATTGTTGTTTGCCGATACAAGGAATTGAAACCGGAGAAATCTATTTGATTAGGATTGCGAACCAAGACATTTTCCTTATTCACGTAGTTAGTTAGAGGAGGGCTGGACGAAAAAATAAATAAAAAGAAATTTTACCTCTTTAATATTAGGTATAGACTACAGAAGCCCCATGTGGGGTTCCAACTTGGGAGACACGCTTGACTTTGAATTGAAGCTCATTCTCATATTTCCAACGTGATTAAAGACCTGTTTGATATAATAAGGGCTAATCACTAATTAGCTAAAAATTAGTTAAAATTAGCTCTAGTGCATCCAAACAGGAGGGCTAATAGGTAAACGATAATGCTTCCACATGGGCGTCTGTCCGTCCGAACGCCGCGCGGCACACTCCGCCTCGCCGCTTCTGCCCGCGCCGCTCGCTCTGGCCTGCGACGCGTGCCTCGCCCACGACACTTTCTCCCTCCCGTCTGTCGTTGCTCGTCCGGCCTGTCGTGTGTCGGCCCGCGCGGATTCGACTCGTTGTCACGTGGCCTGTTCGCCGCAGCCATCCCTCTCCGCACCCTATCCTGCGTGCTACCTCTACTCTCCCCATCTCTCGCTCTCTATCTCATGTCCGCTGACTGCAGAGTGCCTCTCCAGCCTCTTCCCCAACCCCTAATGCCGTCGGGATGCCTCGTCGTAGTCGTCCCTACCAATGGCCGCCGGGCGCACGTGCCGTGTCGCCTTGGGTCATCCTCGACCGAGGCAAGAGCACCCACGAGCGCGGCCGCATGCCAATGGTGCTCATGTGCCGCCGCTCGCTGCTAGCTCACACCCTGATGACTGAAATTGACCAGCCCAGGCCTCCCCTCCCTTATATTGCAAATGTATGTTTCAAATGTTTCAGAGGTATGTTGCAATTGTTCCATAAGAATATTGCAAAAAAGTAGATCGAAGATGTTGCACATGTTATAAGTGTTCAGAGGCATGATGGAAGTGTTTGTTCAAAATGTTTAATCTATTTCAGATGTATGTTGCAAGCGTTTTGATCTAGATACTGCATATGTTTCACACATATATTACAATAGTATGTTCAAATGTTTCATATGTTTTAGTCTTTATGTTGCAGCAAGTGTTTTCATGTTGCAAGTTGCAAGTGTGTTTACCTAGATGTTGCATATGTTTCACACATATGTTGCAAGTGTATGTTACAGATGTTTTATCTGTTTTGGACATATGTTGCATTCACGTGTTTCATGTTGCACGTGTTTCATGTTGTTAGGAGAGTCAGGGGGTGCGCGGGGTGATAGTGGCACGACACGGGGCCCAAGGAATAGGACATGGCGAGTCAGGGGCCGATGGTTAGGGTGCGCGTGTGGGGCGGGGTGAACTATCAGGCGAATGGGGATGGGTTGAATCAAGGCGGATAGGGTAGACTACGCGTGCAAGGCGAGTCGTCCGGATGCTTGGGTTGAAAGGTCCTTGTTTGGTTTTGGTAATTAAGTGACAATCTTAGGTGGACTAATATGTGTTTGAGTGAGATACACAGGTGATTAGTTCAAAAGTACATGTGTGTGAGCAATACTTGCCATGGAGGTGAAATGGCTTGGACTTGTTGCAAAGCTTACACATGTGGTGATGAAGGACCTCATTGCATATGAGACATGACATGGAGTCATGTGATCAAGGTGGAGAAGATCAAGACAAGACTTGGCTTGATAGACCGGTTGCAAGCGTGAAGGGCAAGTTGGAGGCTTTGGAGCGATGGACCATGTGGCAGTGAAGCTTGAGCAAGACTTGGCTTCGATGGACGAAGGCAACGGTGAAAAGCAAGTGAGGTCAAGATCGATGAACCAACAAGGTCACGTGATGATATAAAGTGAATCATATCATTTGTGATATGGTTGGTGCATGTGTTGCATCAACATTGATGGAGATGGAATGGAATGTGCAAGACAAAGGTATATTTGTAGGGCATTTCATTTCACTGGTTATAGGTGTGTAAAGAAGTTTATGACCGGGTTTAGGATATATGGCCGTACAATTAAGAGGGGCAAATTTATTTGCATATCGGTCATCTAGGGCCACTTGAGCGATCCCACTTTGCATACGTGTTAGGATCGAGTGGCGTGGTGAAAAGAGTACTAATCTTTTGGAAAAATGTTTGTGAAAAGCTAACACACGTGCATAAGGTGTTGTTCACTTGGTGGTAATAGCATATTTGCAAAGGTGAAGAAAAGGAGGCGAAACCGGGCTTGGGTGCTGCCCTGGGGGCACCGCCACCCCCTGTCCGATGCACCGCCACCCCTGTGGCGTTGCCCAGCTAGACAAGGCCGAGAAGGAGGAGTTAGAGTGGCATCGTCCAGCCTTAGCGGTGGCGCTGCCCTCTTGTGTTCGGTGACCTTTTGGCAGTGGCCGAGAAGGGGGTGTTGGGCGCTGGCACCGTCAATGGCGGTGTGCACCGCCCTGTGCATGACGGTGCACCGCCGGGTGCTGTCCGGTGCCACCGCCGTGTTTTTCCCTAGGCTAGCATTTTTGGTGTTGAGCTAAGGGGGTCACTGCCATGGGCACCGCCGCCCTATGTTCGGTGCACTGCCCTATTAATCTAGAGAGGGAGGTAAACGGGCACGGGCACCATCGGGGGCACCGCCACCCCTAGGCGGTGCACCGCCCTTGCCTATCTGGTGCTAGGTCTGTAATGACTTGTTGAAATAGCCATTGGAATTCGACCGTTGGGGGCACCGCCACCCTGTCCGGTGCCTGGCACCGCCGTGTCCGGTGCCCTCGCAGAAACCAACAGCTTTGCTCCAAAGGCTCTATTTGGCTTGGGGGCTATAAATAGAGGTGGAGCTCAGGCATTTGGTTGGTTGAGCACCCTTAGGACTGAGTGTCCATGCTTGGGGAGTGCTTGGGAGCCCTCCAACTCACTTGTGCTTTATAGTGATCATTTGATCGAGTGAGTGAGCGATTCTAGTGCGATTGCATCATGAGGTTGCATCGAGTGGTACTAGGTGATCGTGTTACAAGCCAGTGGTGCTTGTTACTCTTGGAGGTTGCCACCTCCTAGATGGCTTGGTGGTGGTCTCCATCAAAGCATGCAAAGAAGATTGTGTGGTGCTCCGGAGAAGTGATTGTGAGGGGGATTGTGCTCACCACACGAGAGCCGCGAAGAGCAACTCTAGTAGAGCGAGACGTGAAGGGCGATAAGTGGTCCGACCATGTCAAGTGCTAGAACTTGTGGTAAGCACTCAACGTGCGAGAGTGTGACTTGCGGGTCACCACTACCAAGAGGACCGGCAGCAACCTTGGAGCTTGTCTCACCGAGGACTAGCGTGTTGACAAGCACGTGAACCTCGAGATAAAAATCACCGTGTCTACCTTGTCATCCCGTTAGTTTGCATTCCCCATACACAAGCTTATATTTACTTTCATATATATTGTGCTTGTGTAGTTGCTCTTGTGATTAGTTGACTTGTGTAGTTTGCTAGTTACCTTCTAGCTTGTGTAGCATAGAAGTAGCTCCCTTGCGTGACTAATTTGGTTTGAGTAACCTTGTTAGTCATATTGCTTAGTTTGTGTAGCTATGTAATTTAAGCTCTCTAATTTGGCTTGTGTAGCCTTGTTATTGAGCATTGCTAGTGAGCTTAGGAGCTTTGTGCTTTTTCATACTAGATTATGTAGAAGCTCCCCTAGTTGCTTGAGTACTAGTTGCATAGGTTTGTCTGACCTTGCTACTAGAATTGATTAAGTGAGCTCTAACTACCCCGACACCTTTGTTGTCTAATTAGGATCTTTATAAGGTGCTTGTGAACTTAGATAGAGGGGTGTAGTCTTGGCTAGACCGATAGTTTTAATTCCACATTTGTTTTGGTTAGTCGGCGCGTTTAGTTTTAGAAAAGACTATTCAC